ATATAAATTGCCGAAATGTTTACCATGGTCCCTAATATCCTCCGGGAGTCCAATTAGGTAGGTGGAACCATCCAATTTGCCTTTAAATGACCAATTATGCGGTTTACAACTTGCACCGATTTCATTAACTCAAGCCTACCATGAACATTAAAAACAAATAATCATCATATATGGTTCCAAACGACATTATATGAATCCAATATGTATTCTATAAAATTAGAAGAATTTTCGACACCGGGCCCCGAAACCTCCAAAATTTCTCAAATAGCGTGTATATTAGACTTCAATTTTGGATTTTTTTTTTTTACTTTTTTTTGTTTGAAAATATAAATTGCGAAAAATGTTTACCAAGTTCCCTAATACCCTCTAGGAGTCCAATTGGGTTGGTGGAATCATCCAATTTTCCTTTAAAAGACCAATTTACCGATTTATAACTTGCACGGATTTCATCAACTCAAGCATATTACGAACATCATGACAACATATAATGATCATATATGGTTCCAAACGGCATTATATGACCCCGAGATGTATCCCCTAAAATATCAAGTCTTTTCTGCACTGGGTCCCGAAATCAATAAAATTTTCAAAAAACGTGGATATTAGCCTTCAATTTTGGAATTTTTTTGACTTTTTTCGCCTGAAAATAAAAATTGCCGTAATGTTTACCATGGTCCCTAATACCCTCCGGGAGTCCAATTGGGTGGCTAGAACCATCTAATTTGCCTCCAAACGACCAATTTACCAAATTACAACTTGCACCGATTTCATTAATTCAAGCCTACCATGAACATTTATAACAACATATAATGATCATAAATGGTTCCAAACGGTATTATATGACCCCGAGATGTCTTCCCTAGACTTTTAAGACTTTTCGACACCGGGTCCTGAATCTTTGAAAATTTCTCAAAAAACGTGAATATTAGCCTTCAATTTTAAAATTTTCGACTTTTTTAGCCCGGAAATAAAAATTGCTGAAATATTTCCCATGATCCCTAATATCGTTCAGGAGTACCATTGGGTGTGTGGAACCATCCAATTTGCTATTTAACGGCCAATTTACCGGTTTACAACTTGCACCGATTTCATTTACTCAAGCTTACCACGAACATTTAGGACAAATAATAATAATCATATATTGTTCCAACTGGAATTATATAACCCCTAGATGTATCCCCTATAATTTCAAGACTTTTCGACACCGGGCCCCTAAACCTCCAAAAGTTATCAAAAAGCGTGGATATTAGTCATCAATTTTGGAATTTGTTGACTTTTTTTGCCCGGAAATAAAAATCTCCGAAATGTTTACCATGGTCCCTAATACCCTCCGGGAGTCCAATTGGGTTGGTGGAACCATCTAATTTTAATTTAAACGGCCAATTTACCGGTTTACAACTTGCACAAATTTCATTAACTCAAGCATACTACGAACATTTATGACAACATATAATGATCATATATGGTTCCAAACGGCATAATATGATCCCGAGATATATCCCCTAAAATATCAAGACTTTTCTACACTAGGTCCTGTAACCTCCAAAATTTTTCAAAAAACGTGGATATTAGCCTTTAATTTTGTAATTTTTTGACTTTTTTTCGCCCGAAAATAAAAATTGCCGAAATGTTTACCATGGTCCCTATTACTCTCTAGGAGTCCAATTGGGTGGGTGGAACCATCCAATTTACCTTTAAACGACCAATTTAACGGTTTACAACTTGAACCGATTTCATTAATTCAAGCCTACCACGAACATTTATGACAATAAATAATGACCTTATATGGTTCCAAACGGCATTATATGACCCCGAGATGTATCCCATAGAATTTCAAGACTTTTCGACACTGGGCCCCGAAACCTTCAAATTTCTCAAAAAGCGTGGATATTAGCCTTCAATTTTGGAATTTTTTTTACTTTTTCTTGCCCGGAAATAAAAATAGGCGAAATTTTTACCATGGTCCTTAATAACGCAGGGGTGTCCAATTGGGTGTGTGGAACCATCCAATTTGCTATTAAACGACCAATTTACCGGTTTACAACTTGCACCAATTTATCGTTTTACAACGGCCAATTTAATTAACTTGCACCGATCTCGACTTGTAAGGAATTTGACCCTAACTCGTTTTAACCCGTCAAAACCCGAATTTAACTCGACTTGTTATTAACCTGACCTGAATTTAACCCGATCTGTTCCTAACCAATACCGAATTTTACCCAACTTGTTACAAACCCGACCCGAAATCAACCCGACTTGTTATTTACCTGACCCAAATTCAACCCGACTTGTTATTGACCCGACCGAATTTTACCAGACCTATTACTTATCCGAACCGAAAATTCAACCCGATCTGTTACTAACCCGACTCGAAATTAACACGACTTGTTATTGACCCGACCTAAATTCAACCCAAATTGTTCCTGACCCAATTTCAAACCACCTTAAATGCAATTTAGGGCCTGTTCTCTTATGTTGAAATTCATTTCAGTTCAGTTCAGTTCAGTTCCATTCAGTTCAGCTCAGTTCAGTTCGATCAGCTCCTAATTTCCTTTTTCTTATAAAATATTCATTTCATTTCATTTCAGTTCAGTTCAATTGATTTCAGTCAATGAGAATAGGCCCTTAGACTATCTTATTATTGTTGATCAGAGCATTTTGTCTTGGAAGACCAAGTCGATCCAGGCCAGCAAAAGAAAGGAGCATCATCCTCAAATTTAAGAGTTAAATATAGTATATATTTATTGTATGGTCAAAGGAGATAATTATCTTCCTAAATTATAGATTATAGTTCCATAGTATATATATATATATATATATGTATGTATATATATATATTAGTCAAAGGAAATAATTAGCTTGATAAAAATGATAATTATCTATTTATAATTAGTTGAACCCGAATATGACCTGATTGTAACCTGCAAATTATTGACTTGAACATAACCCGACTTGAATCCGAGATTGACCCGACTTGGAAATGACCCAATCTGATTATAACCCGCAAATTATTGACTTGAATCGACCCGGCTTGAAAATGACCCAATTTGATTATGACCCGCAAATTATTGACTTGAACCCGAGAATGACCCGACTTTAAAATGACCCGACCTTATTATAACCCACAAACTATTGACTTGATCTGAACCCGACTCAAATTCGAGAATGACTTGACCTGATTCTAACTCGCAAATTATTGACTTGAACCGAACTTGACTCAAACCCGAGAATTACCCTAACCTGTGTTTAGCCCGTGAAAACCCGAATTAAACCCGACCTATTGTTCACCCGACCTGTTATTAATCCAACCTAAATCCGGCCCAAACCCGATAAGAAGTATGACCCGACATGACCCGACTCAAGCATGAGCAAGCCCAAACCCGACCCGCATAATTTATGGAATTAATCTGAATTGACTCGACCGTACCCGAGTTGACCCAACCCTATCTTACCCGACCCAAAGCCGACCCGCTTATCCAAATTGATTGCTCTAAGAGTGAGAAAGAATGAAAAAGCAAGTGGGGTAGCTGTAAATGCAATGTTAAAAATTTACCCCAAAAGGAAACATGTCAACTAAAAAAAACTTCCTAAAAAGGAATACGTGTCAACTAAAAAAAACGAAGGTAGTAAATAATATATACTATGATTAATCTAATAGAGTTTTAAAAAAAAGCATGTGATTTTTTATACGTAGTAGATTAGGTAAAAGGAATTATGACAAATTTAGTATTCCCCCCATTTCTGAAAATTCAACTCACTTTGCATTTGTATGGTCTCCAATGAATATCTTTAACCATTAATAAGTTCAGTTATATATAAGTAAAAAAATTTAAAGAGTTTATATTTCAAAATTTTATCATAAGAGAAATCTAATAAAAACAAACTTCTTAATTTAATTTGATTGTATAAATCATAAAATGTAGACAAAATTATTTTATTTTAACCACATAAATAATAAATGAATCGAATTTTCATAAACAGAAGGCGTATGTAGGTAGTACAAAAGTCATGTTACCAGGGCCATTGCCCCTTATTCTACTTTCTTGGGCTTACAGAGTGTCCCCAATTGACTAATTATACCATAAAGGCCAACAGAAGACAAGTAAGACAGCATCTCTCCCACTCCAAATTTCAGCTTCTACTTTTGTTGTTATTCCACTCCACGTTGGTATTGACTAGGATTTTAGTTAGTCATTTTTATTTCATTTGACTAAAGTTTCTCCTTTCTCTACATCATTCGTTTAACCACAGCGAGTATATTATGGAAGATGAAGACCAAAATTGTCATTTAATTTTTCAGTGATGTATCGTTTCTGATTAAGTTGTAGACTGTGAAATCATTTATTGTTATCATTCTTCTTTGCACATAAAATGCGATTTAAAAAACAAAAGAAAAAAGAGGAAAAGAAAGAAAGTACAAAGGAGAACTAAAACTCCTTAATATCAATCTTGCTTGTATGGACGTGGGACAAAACGTTTACGCATCTTTAATTTTAATTCACTCCAAATATCAATCTTGCTTTCCTATCTCGTTCTCTTTTATGTTGCATATTTTATCTCACAAGTTTTATAAGAATAGCATAATCAAAGCGTTGTGAATCACTAACCTTCTTATTGTCAAACACCATGTACATGCGTTGCTCCCAATCAAGATAAGCATCAGAAATTTTGTAAGTGAAAACTAGACAAAATGTTATCCAATTTGAAAAAACAAATCACCTAAAGAGAGTTAATAACAAAGGAGAACGAAGCCAAACAATCTGACCTACAAATCTGTACTTTTTAGGCCCGATTTCTGCCAAGATTTTGTACGAGTTTGCACTTTTTCCCTCGCATATATATTCAGTTGTTTAGAGTTTCTTGAATAAAAGAAACAATCTATAAATGTTTCTTGGATTTAAATATGCTGTATATTTGTTGTATTCGTTTTTCTTGAGGAAAAACAAGTTAAAAAAATTTTGTGACATAATGATAGAACTCCTAAGGCTTGGTTGAGAGACGATACTTGAAGGCTCGGTTGAGAGCCGATACTTGAAGGCTCGGTTCAACAATCAATGTTTAGCACAACGGCAAAATAATTAGCTTAAAATCGTGTAGAACAAAATCTAATCTAATTATGAAACTTATCCTAACTTCTAAAGATAATATTTTGCAAATATAATCATCTTCTACTATCTTTTACTAACCGAATTAAACTAACAAATATATTCTAATAATTAAAATAAACTCCTAAGGCCTAAAACAAGAAAAATCCTTTAAAGTGAAAGGTAAAAACTCGTAGACAAAAATCTAAAATAAGCGATAACCATTTTGACAATATGTATCATGGCTATATAAGACTATATAAGCTATGTTTATTCTAATGTAACTTGTTTTCCTAGAGAGATAGGAACCAGTAGAATACTATGGTTTTATTTTGGCTTTCAATAACTTGCTATATTTTTAGACTTAAGAAGTCCTTACTATGGCTGTGAGACAAAGGCCATGAATTCCTTGTCTGATTCGAGAGCATCCATCGAATCAGGTGTCAAACATATCTCTAGATCCACACTTCCTCCTCCTTCACTTCCCTGGCAAGCAAACACCAACCCAGTATCCTTGCTATTTCCATACCCGGAACGAAAGGCTATGGCTCTCCCTAACCCGAATTCATTGCCATACATGTCAAATTGAGGTGAATTTAATATTGATACATTGCTACGGTTAAGGAAATCCTCGTTATAGATAAACTGTGGAGACTTCAACCATCCGTTAACAAAGTTGTGCTCAGCCTCGTCACTACTATAATTTATCAGGGTGAGTGTAGGGAATTGGAAACGGACCAGGAGCACGTCCATCAGGAGACCAACGGGTGTAGACAGGTAGATCTAACTCGCATATTGTATCCTTACCATTTCCTTGATGTATCTTAGACCATACGTTCCAAAAGTGCCAGTATGAAGTTCCATCTGTAATACAATGGTTTACTGAACAAGCGATAAAAATACCATCTAGGAGCTCAGTGACTTGAATAGACAACAAAGGTTTGGAACTGCCATCATAATTGACATACTCCTCATTGAGGTCAAACAATGATTGAACTACCAAAGGAACATCCTTTGGTGAGAGAACATCGGAAATGGTGATATCTAAAGTGGCATGAATGAATCTAGCCCCAGGACCCTTGTTACAATCTACGTACACTACGCTTTCATGCTTATCTTCATCTACCTTGGTCACAAACTGACCTGCTAATGGGTAGAAATGAACAAGGGTACGAGAAAAAGATTCTTTTAGACTTTCAAGGAACAAGTGGATTGAAAAAACTTGGTTTTTTATATGTGATGGTCTGGTGAATAAGAGACCGAATTGTATGTGGTGGGCAGTAAGCACCAAGAGATCATGAGGAGTTAAGTGATAGGGTTGTTTTGATTCCTCTACTTCGTGCTTTGGCTTAATGAAATTTTCAGAAATACACTTAATCAAGGGAAAATCTGGCTCTCTCATTTCTTTAGAACACGAATGATCGAATAGTAGGCCTTAGGTATATATATGTATGTAGCTGCTGTCGCGCTTCTAAGATGAGTAATTCCTTTCAATTATCCTTGAACTGATGCAATTTTGGAGCGATTTTACCATATAACGTAGGCACTGAATAAGAAAATGAAGGGTAAGCTTATAAATAAGAAAGAAAACTAACCTTGGAAGCTTCAAAAAAAAATTATATACATATCCGATGTACAGTAATAAACTATACGTCGAACTAACTTTTGTTGGGTAACTTTGTTGAATTTAGGGTAACTTTTGTCCATAAAGCTTAAATAACTTTAATCATATCATGATAACTTATATATTGAGTAACTTTCATTCATTATAGAGTAACTTTTGATCATTTTAAGGTAACTAATTTGAACCGGATGTATAATATGTTATTGTACAACCTATTTTTTTAAATGTTTGTTGCTTCCATACTTTAACCTTGTCATTATCTCGTCGTTAATAAACTCTGTTAGTGGGGCCCACTCTCCATTTATTAATATTTTTATCGATTTGTGCGTTAAAAATATTCCGTTAAAAGTTTTGGGGGCTATTTTGGTTCTTAATGGTCGAAATTGAGCTCATATTTGGCAAAAAAAAATCACGAAAATGTCTTGTTTTGCATAAATGTGAACACGCAAATCTAGACAATTCTCAATAAGAGAAAAGAGGCATTAACGTTATTTTTTTGCCAAATTTGAGCTCGATTTGGAATCTTTAGGACCAAGATAGTCCCCAAAACCTTTAACTGAACATTTTCTAACGCGCAAATCGATAAAAAATATTAATAAATGAAGAGTAGGCCCATTAACGGAATTTATTAACGGTGGGATAACGGCAAAGTTACCGCATGGAAGCAAAAGTTTATTTAAAGTTACGGTGTGGAAAGTGATATATATTAGAGAATAGCGTGTGAAATTAAGAGAGTTGCTATATAGAAAAACCCAATAAAATTTTAAATAGGTTGTAAAAAAACAAAGTGGTGGCCTTAAAAATATACGTAGTAAACTTCAAGCAAATTGATCATAACAAAACTTCTAATAAGAATGAAAAACAAACCTTATTTGAAGCTTAGACGCACACACAAGCTTTTCGCGGTGAAGACCTCTTACACCAATTAATACTAAAAACACAAGCTTCTAAACAGCAACAAACAAGATGAAAAATGAGAGGTTTAATGAAGTTTGGGTAAGTACTGGAAAATTTGATGATTTATTTCCGTTTCGTTAATTAACTAATAATGAAGGCCTATAAATAGGAAACTCTAGTGGAGTATTGGTTTATGTTAATTGGTAATACAAGCAAAGGGAAAAGTAACTAAGTACGACTAATCAATCACCTTTGAGTGGCGGCTACAATAGTCATTATAATGAATTTGCATCACAACTACCATTAGTTTATGCTAATGAAATATATGAATGGTTTGACTACACATGAATGGTTGAGAACTTGATATAGATTACTTATTCCGTTCTAATAATATTGCAACAATTCGAATTTTGAACTATTTATCACTCTAATTTGACCATATAATATGATTCATACGTTGAGTAAAACAGTCAGGTAGAATCTTGTTATATTTGTCTCATAAAATACTTTAACAAAATATTAAAAAACAAATTGAAGGGAAAGAATTTCCCACCACAATGTGACAAGTGTCATGTTAATATTTGCTTATATTTGCTTTTAGTATGGTTTTATAGATTCCTTTTACAATAGCAAGTAAATTATCAAGATGAAGATCAAAATTCTCCTATAGGACGTTCTGATGCTTGTTTCACTAAGTTGTACTAGTGTTTTTTTAAAAATATAATTACTATATGGTGTAATAACACCTACCATTGTCATAAGGAGTTCCCTCTGGGTTTTCTCTTTGAGAGGGTTTTTTTTGTTCTCTCTAGGGTTTTTCTTTGAGAGGGTTTTTTTGTTCCCTCCAAGGTTTCTCCTTGAGAGAGTTTTAGAACTCTCTGATCCATTGCTAGATTTTTTTTTAAAAAAAAGGTTTTCCTTTACTCTTCTTTTTTTCTCTTTCTCTTCCATCTCTTTTCTTCTAATCTCAATTGTAAATTTTTGTAGGGATTTTTACCGGTGTTTTTACCAGTTGTAAGCCCCAAAAAACTTTTTAATTGCTTTCAATAAATGAATCTCATCTTTATGATGTGTTTATTCAACGAGGTTTTTTTTTTTTGTTCGTGTGCTAAAGACTGAAAATTTAGGATTTCATAGTCTCTGAAAGTATCTAGAAGGTCATATGAGTTTTTTCACCCAAAAAACTACTCCTCCGTGGATCTCAAGCCGAATTAGTGCTAACTCACAAATTGTTTTGTTTTGGATGAAGTTTTTTTTTAATTAAGGAGATCATTAATCGAATTTGCGACGTAATTAGTTCTAAGGTGATTTGTACTTATGTTGGAATTTTATATTTCCTAGGAATTGTTTGTAAGTGCGGTTTGGCTATCTTATATTAATTAAATCTTTATTCTTAAAATAAAATTTAAAAAAAAATAATAATTACTGCTATATGTTTTAATTTGCATGTGATATACTTTTTATATTTTTTTGACACAAAGCTCATACTATATTGAATTAAACCACTCATAATATATCAGAGAGAACAGTAGAGGTGCATGAGGGTATGTGTTCAATCCATACTCTTATGTCCTCAAAGTCTTTACTACTCTGAGCTAAGGAATGAGCAACATCATCATTCCCATTTCTACCATCATAAGAAAACTCAATAGAATTACAGAGGCTAGCTAAATGCAAAATGTCACCAAACTATGAAGCCGAAACTAGACCACTCTCTTCTACCCTTCTTCAGATAACAAAAGAAAAAAGAGGGGAAAAAAAGTACAATTGAGAATATATAACTAGGCTATAAGCTATGTTTATTCTGATTCTTGTTTCACCAACTTGTTTTCCTAGAGAGATACTAGCTAACAATACCATATACAGAGTACACTATGACAATGAGACAAAGGCCATGAACTCCTTATCCCATTCAAGAGCATCCATCGAATCAGGTGGCAAACATAGCTCTACATCCACACTTCCTCCTCCTTCAATTCCGGGGCAAGCAAACACCAACCCAACACCCTTGATTCCATGCCCGGTACGAAAAGCTATGGCTTTCCCTAACCCGAACTCGTTACCATTCATGTCAAACCTGGGTGAATTTGCTACTCCTACACTATTACGGTTAAGAACATCCTCAATACACATTATACTTGGAGACTTTAACCATACATTATAAAAATTGCGTACATCCTTATCATTGAATTTTACCACGGATTGATGCAACAATGAGGCTGCCCACCCTAAATTATTTTCTAGTAGCTCGTCGGCTGTTGCACTAGACGTGAGAAGCTGACAAAAATTGCCAAAATAATACTCTGGTAAAGGAGGATCTAATCTTTTTCTAGAGTTGGCAACTAAGTGATTATACGTAATTTGATCATGAGGTACGCGGCTTGCTCTAACCATTGACCTCCAAATAAGAGCACACAAGGACTGATATGAAGATATATTTTTAGCAGAACCTTTTTCATTTGCCACGGTTTTTAACCTTGCTATATTCTCGGATGAGAAATGAAATATCCGATCTCCAAGTTGAGGCGGTTCATATTTTCTTAGAAATTCATCAGGGCGAGTGAAGGGAATTGGGAAAGGGCCGGGAGCACATCCATCAGGATACCAACGGGTGTAGACAGGTAGATCTGACTCGCATATTGTATCCTTACCATCATTTCCTTTATGTATCTTAGACCATATGTTCCAAAAGTGCCAATATGAAGTTCCATCTATAATACTATGATTTACCGTACAAGCAATAAAAATACCATCTACGAGCTCAGTGACTTGAACTGACAACAAAGGCTTTGAATGGCCGTCGTAGTTCACCAACTTCTCATTTAAGTCAAAAAATGAGTGAACTACCAAAGGAACATCTTTTGGTGAGAGAATATCAAAAATGGTCATATCTAACGCGGCATGAATAAATCTAGCCCCAGGACCCTTGTTACAATCTACATACACTACGCTTTCATGCTTGTCTTCGTCTACCTCGGTGACAAGCTGACCTGCTAATGCCTAATGGGTAGAAATGATCAAGGGTGAGAGAGAGATTTCTTTAAACTTTCTAGGAAAGAGTGGATTGAAAAAGCTTGATTTTTTGTATGTGATGGTTTGATGAATAGGAGACCAAAATGTATGTATTGGAAAGAGAGAAATGCTAGATCATAAGGAGCTAAGTGATAGATTTGCTTTGACTCCTCAATCTTATGCTTTGGCTTAATGAAATATTCAGAAATGCGCTCAACAACAGGCAAATCTGGGTTTTCTTTTTCCTTAGAACACATATGATTACTATAGTAAGCCTTAGGTGTATATATGTGCGTAGCAGTTGTCGTGCTTCTAAGATAAGCAATTCCTTTCGACCATTCATGAATAGATGCAATTTTGCAGCGATGATACCTCATAATGTAGGCACTGGATAAGAAGAATGAAGGGTTGTTTAAATATAAAATTCAAGCAAATCATCATAAATAAAACTTCCAAATTAGAATGAATTAGAAAAACAAACCTTATAAAGAGCTTAGGCACAAGTTTTTCCGGCAATTCCAATGGTGAGCAGTGATGACTTGTACACCAATACTAAAAACACACGCTTCGGAAGAGCAACAAACATGAAAAAATAGTGGTTGAATGAAGTTTGGTTACAAATCTGGGTAATTTATTGGATAAATTGATGGTTTATTTTTAGAAACTAATGAAGGCCTTTAAATAGACATATGCAGTAAAGGTAGGGTAAGGTATAAAACTCTAGTGCTCATAAATGCTAATTGCTAGTACAAGAAAATGGATAAGTTAATTACGGAGTATTACTAAGGGATGGCTCTATGCTGATTGCTAGAACAAGCAAAGGGATAAGTTATGTACGGAGTATTACTAAAGGATGACTCTTGAGGGGCTGTAATTGTATTGTATTGTAGGCCTTTATACCTCCTCAGTTTTTTTAAGTTGCATCACTTAGACAATTTTTGGAGATGAGAGACAGAGTGAATAAAAAAGTATACCCATATGATAAGAGAGAAACAAAAAGTTTATTAACTAAAAAGGACAATAAGTAATTTAAAACTTCCGTTTTTATAAGTGATGCAAATAAAAAAAAAACGAAAGAAGTATTAAATTTGATCACAACCATTTGTTAATGTTGACTAATATGAATGGTTGATATAGATTATTTTTTATTTAAAAAAAAAAATTGGCAGGTTTGCTCCTCAATCTAGTCCTAGTTATACCAATCTATCCCAGATTTGCTCCTCAATATTATCCTAGTTATTCCAATCAGTTAAGGCTAAAATCTTTCAGTTCGCCAAGCATTATGACGGAATCTATTATGTAGGTGTATGTTAAGATTAAGGGTCTATCCTGATTTACCGAAATGAACTAAGCTGAGCTAAATTGTCTATGAGAGAAGGAAATTAAGAGCTGAACTGAAATTAAGCTGAAGAGAATAAGTCCTAAAATCTTTTAGTTTTCCAAGCTTTACGATGGAAACTATTATGCAGTGTATGTATTCTAAATCAATAATCAATTTGCGGAACAATAACTTCGTCTTCTTCCATGTATTATAGATTTAAAGACTTCAATTTTCTTTCCGTGACTTGTATACAAAGTTACAAACTAATAAGAGAAAAATATGCGGAATGATTATTGCGGGAATCCTACTCTCCATTTCCTTCAAAAAGCTAAAACAAGATTGAGGACAAAAGCCAAAAAAAAAAAAAAAAAAACTACTCCGCAAACAAGAGGAACTGAAATTTAAAAATTCCAAACCATTCTGCAAAACTTTTTTCAATTGAGATTCTAAAAATTCCATTCATTTATATGGCTTAGATTAGATGGTCATGTTTAATGGACAAGTTATTCCTTGGTTTTACAGTAAGAAGTGAGCATCTCAAGCAGTTGGATGAAGTTTGCTTTTTACCTGAACTGGTGTTGTGCTCATGCCATATTAACACATAATCACATATACGTAGTACAAAAGTAGGATTCACAAAAACAAGGGAAAAAAAAAAGGAAATTTTTAAGACTTGAGAAGTCCTTACTATGGCAATGAGACAAAGGCCATGAATTCCTTATCTAATTCGAGAGCATCCATCGAATCAGGTGGCAAACATATCTCTAGATCCACACTTACTCCTCCTTCACTTCCCGGGCAAGCAAACACCAACCCAGTATCCTTGCTGTTTCCATACCCGGAACGAAAGGCTATGGCTTTCCCTAACCCGAATTCATTACCATACATGTCAAATCGGGTGAATTGACTATTGATACATTGTTACGGTTAAGGAAATTCGCGTTATAGATAAATTGTGGCGATTTCAACCATCCGTTGACAAAGTTGTGCACAGCCTTGTCACTATAATCTATCACAGACTGGTGTAACAATGAGGCTGCCCACCCCAAATCGTTTTCAAGTAATTCGCCAGCTGTAGTACTTGTTGTGAGAGACTGAAAAAAGTTGCCAAAATAATACTTTGGTAAAGGAGGATCTAATCTTCTTCTGTTGTTCACAGCTAAGTGATTATGAATAATTTGATCGTAAGGTACACGATTTGCTCTAACCATCGACCTCCAAAGAAGAGCACACAATGACTGAAAAGAAGAGATATTTTTCACATAACCTTCCTCATTTGCTATGGCTTTTAACCTTGCTATAGAATCGGATGAAAAACAAAAGATCCGATCACTAAGTTGAGTAGGTTCAAATTTTCTTACAAAGTCATCAGGGTGAGTATAGGGAATTGGAAATGGACCAGGAGCACGTCCATCAGGATACCAACGGGTGTAGACAGGCAAATGAGAGTCACATATCATATGGTTTCCACTTCCTCTATGTATCTCGGACCATACGTTCCAAAAGTGCCAGTATGATGTTCCATCTGTAATACAGTGGTTTACTGAACAAGCGATAAAGATACAATCCAAGAGCTCAGTGACCTGAACTGACATCAAAGGTTTTGAGCTGCCATCATAGTTCACATATTCCTCATTGAGGTCAAAAAATGATTGAACTACCAAAGGAACATCCTTTGGTGAGAGAACATCGGAAATGGTGATATCTAAAGTGGCATGAATGAATCTAGCCCCAGGACCCTTGTTACAATCTACGTACACTACGCTTTCATGCTTATCTTCATCTACCTTGGTCACAAACTGACCTGCTAATGGGTAGAAATGAACAAGGGTACGAGAAAAAGATTCTTTTAGACTTTCAAGGAACAAGAGGAACGAAAATTCTTGGTTTTTTATACGTGGTGGTTTGGTGAATAATAGACCAAAATGTATGTGGTGGGCAGAAAGCAACAAGAGATCATGAGGAGCTAAGTGATAGGGTTGATTTGATTCCTCTACCTCGTGCTTTGGCTTGATGAAATTTTCAGAAATACACTTAACCAAGGGAAAATCTGGCTTTCTCATTTCTTTAGAACACGAATGATCACCATAGTAGGCCTTAGGTGTATAGATGTATGTAGGAGTTGTGGTGCTTCTAAGATGAGTAATTCCTTTCAACCATCCTTGAACTGATGCAATTTTGCAGCGATTATACCACATAGTCAGTTGAGAAAATGAAGGGTAAGCTTCCAAATAAGAAAGAAAACGAACCTCAGAAACTTAGGCTTATTACAAGTTTAAGAATGGTTTAACACGAGAGAGAGAGAGAGAGAGAGAGAGAGAGAGAGAGAGAGAGAGAGAGAGAGAGAGAGAGAGAGAGAGAGAGAGAGAAGTTTACTGTCTAAAGAAGCTTGGCTACAAATCTTTTTATATAAAGGAAGAATTGATGATTTCCATCAATTATTGAAGGCCTTTAAACAGGCATATACAACACAGCTACGCTAATAAGTTATTAATAAATTAATAACAGGGGAAATATAAACTACTCTAGCTGAACGTGACCAACGTGTATATTACAAAGTTGTTAGAACTTTGACTATCCTTCTACAGTTTTAAGACTTACACCATTGTATATTCGTATTCATATTCTAAGATTAACATATTAGTTTTCTTCTACTCCCTTCATTTCACAATAATTAACACAATTTGACTAGACATGTAACCCTATCTCAGTTTCCCTCTCCCCTTGGTCCAACCCATCTAAAGGCAAATTAATTTAAAATTTGTATACCAAGTTAATGATCAAAGATTAAGACCTCCATTTTCATTCAATTAAAAAAAAAAAAAAAAAAAAAAAAAAAACAGCTTTTGTTCCTAACAAAAACAAAACATTATACAATATGATTGTTTCATTAACTTATTATAATCTGCAGAAGAGATACTAAGCATACTACAGGCAGTCTAAGAAAATTTTCAAGGTAGCTTAATAAATTGGAAGTCTCCTTGATGCCCTTCACTTTAAATTAGAATAGGAGGAGAAAAAATATTAAGCTGCAAACATAAAACTAATCCAGATACTAACCATTAGAGTCTTCTGGTTTCCTAAAAAGAAAAAGGTTACACTTTTGGTTGATTTCATCTTTGGATCAACATGGCATTTAAAATCTTCTTGACAAGGTCATAAGTTCAAATCTCATCAATCAGTTTCAAATTGAACGATTTAGCGGTGTTCATGAGTAGGCCCACTATAACAAATCAGATGCGTATATTAAGATAGATAAAGTTACAATATGGCTCAAACAACAGGAAAAAGTCTTCCAAATACAAAGTGAAAAACTAAAAAAGCATTATAATTAAAAAAAGAAAGCACATTGGAATACTAGACTTCGATTTCCAAATAATACATTCCAAATTCACAACTTTAGAAACAAAATTTCTTATCATAGAAGTACTCTGTATAATGCAAGAAACATTTTATACAATTACATCCAAACCATTCTGCAAAATTTATCAATTGAGATTCTAACATTTCCGTTCTTTTAACAATTTAATATGGCTTGGATTAGATGGTCATGTTTAATGGGCAAGTTATTCCTTGGTGTAAGTTTTACAGTAAGTAAGCATCTCAATGATGACGTTTGCTTTTTACCTGAACTGATGCTGTGATCATGCCACATTAACACACATACAGGCAATACAGCAAGGATGGATTCAAAAAAAAAAAAATGTACAAGAATTGCTGCACATAAAGCTGTCAAAGTTTACGATAGAAACCTTGATGAAGAAGCATAAGCTGTGGCAATTATGAACAACAGAAGGTGGTCATTGTTGAAGGGCATAAAGTGAACTCAATCAATGTCAACTTCTTCTGGCTTGACAAAGAACTCTATGTAAGCTATCCTGCTAGGTGGCTGATAACCTGCAGAATCTATGTGTGAGTGTGCTGGTCTTGCCATGGAAACCAAATGCTGAATTTTTAGTATCCCTCCTCTCCCAACAGTAACTTTGCTTCCACGGTTATCTTTGACAACACTGCTTGGTATATTTGAAGTTGTTGCCCGCAGAAATTTATACTTGTACCTATTTATCAATATTAACAATCAACGTTAAATCATTGAATAAATGAAACCAAAATATTAAGTAATCGAAAGGACATTAATATGTACCGATGAGACACTTCCTGATCACAGCTAAAAGCAGCCAAAAGGTCAGTATTTACGTAATACATGAAGTCTATCTGCAAAATAAACAATTAAACCTGTCACCATAACTGATCAAAATCACAAACTTCTCACCCTTCACAGTACTGGAAAAAGTACATCTGTGTGAAGGAGAAAGACAAAGGCTTAAACACATAAAGATCAAACAAGCTCAGTTGTCAGTACCACTTAACCTTACCTGTAGATCACCATGACCTTCACCTCTAAAGGTTACAGAAGGAGGAGTAGGCTGTACAGTAATTTTAATGCTTGAGCCGGGCCATTCCAGATCATCAATGGCTTCTTTCAGAGCTGCAGACTAAAAATGCACTGAGGTTAGAATATATTTGTGTACCTTCTAAGAAGAATCTAACATATCCAGAAACATATGCCCTCGCACAGATACTCTGTAATTTTTAATTATTTTAAAGTCTTATACCTGATTTAAAGACTGTTATATGTTATTTTATAGCAGTGTATTGTATAAACTAATATCATATCTTCACCATGGATCAGTTTCAAGAAGTTACCTTCACTGTGAAGCTTAAAGGGGTGGCACCCAAAGGTTCAAAATTGTAGTCCCACGAAATAGTATCTGGGATTCTTGTTCTGATCTCAGCATAAATGCACGCATCCAGTGAATCAACAGACCTAGTAAGAAAAAAACAACATAGAAATCAAGCAATGAAACAATTTGATAGTTTAGACATCCAACACTCTTTCTTTTTTTCCTTTTATTAAAATAAATTATCAAGCAATCTTTAGGAACTTTAAAAGTTAATCAGCAAAAATAAACCATGAGAAAGCATTGCAATCAGTTTCTCATCAACAAAGTCTTTTTGTTTCACATATCAACAGCTCAATCAAGTTCCTAGATGTTCTGTTTCTTCCGAACCACAACCTATGTAACTCAGCACCAGGACACGGCCACATAGATCATTACTCATTAGATCACCACTGTGCAGAACCAAGAGCCAAACCCAGCTAATTATTTCTTCAATCTAAGTTCATTGCTGATTTGAGGCGCTAAATTCTAATATCCTATGGGTAAAGGTAGAGTAACAAGGACTACAACTATCAGGCGTAAATGTACTACCTTTGTAAAGCAAAAAATCATTGTCGAAATCTACTTAGGTTTCCCATCAAAACCTATCTCCCACCAATTCCATAGAAAGACATCACGATCCTGTACCCCAATCACCAATGCCATCAACCACACTTCTATAATTCAGGACTTCCTAAGCATCCACGAGCATTAAGCAGGAACAGGACAATCCCAGCAGGAAAGCCTTTTGAAATTACCATTTTGGCAACAAGAATGAGAAGAATCAACCACGTGTTCCCTTAAACCTCCATCCCAATGTGACATATCGAGTTTTCACAACCTCCAACAAACATATATGGCAACTCAAGTTATCCCACTACATAGAAAGATTTCACAATAACACTTAAAAAAAACTACTCCGAAATTCACTGCATTTTACTGAAACATTTCGTTATAGCATTTTCACTATATACTAAGCTTATGCAAATTTTAATGTCATACATGTCAGAATAGTTGACAAATACAGCGCCACAAAAAGAAAATATATCATAATTAACTACATCATAGCAAATAAGGACAATTACTTGAGTAGAAGCTGCATATCAGGGCCTGGATACCGAAGCTCAATCGTACTCGAGTGTCCCGGAACCGAGAATGTATTCAAGCAATCAACCAAAAGCCCCAAACTCACCCCGAATCGAGGCCGTGCTTCAGCAGTATACTCATAATTCACAAACAACTGCCAAAAAAAAAAAAAAAAAAACCAATCAAATCAAATCAAAACTACAACAAAATTGGGTCATACACTCAGAAATTCACAATCTTAATTCTTAGCTAATAGTCTGATAGCATAAATTAAAGTTGAAGTGAAAACCTCTTTTTGAAGATAGACCTTGGCTTGAAGACAACCAGTCTCTTCAACAATCAAAACGACGCCGTGTTCCGATAATTCCACCACCGCATCCTGGAGTGAAGAAGAACGAAAATTGAAATCAAACGAAACCCTAATTTTGTTCGGAGAATTTGGAAGAGAGAGAAACATGTAAGAAGAAAGACCTGATGGCGTTTCCAGCGAACCGAGGTGAGCGCATCGACAAAGCCTTGAACGTTGTCGAGTTGACACACTAAATCTGGTAGTGTGGCATCCATTGACGCCGAACTCATTTCTCTCTCTTCTTTGATTTTCAGAAAAGTGGAGCTTTGCAGTTTTCACACTTGTTCTCTGTTCCCGCCAAAATAACAGCAGCTGAGGTATTTTATTTGTCAATTCAGCCCTCCGCTAGTCCCTGCCTGTCTTTTATGAGATTTTAACCGACTAAACTAATTCATTTTATATTTGTGCTTAGTTAGACTAAACTAATTTTTTATAGTTAATTTGTCATTTGTAGATTTGTCCCAATTTAATTGATAATCAATCTTTATAATAAAACTTTCTTCTTTCTCTAAAACCCTAGCCTCCATTGTAGAATTTTGAAGGGGCTTCTATCGGATTTACCGGTGAAAAGCCCCAATCGTTGTTTCTTTTGTGCCTTTTCTCTTGCTTTAGGTTTATAATAATTCTTCCTCTCCTAAGAGGGATATTTCTCCCTCGAAAGACAGGGTTTTTCTTCCTCTTTAGGAGGATTTGGCTCCTTCGAAAGACCGGGTTTTTCTTCTCTCTTTTGAGGGAGGACTTGCTTTTTTATTTCATGGATTGTTATAGAGTTGTTTCATGGGTAAAATTTTGTGCGGGATTGAAAAAGAGATTAATATTTCGACAACAATCAAACGAATCAGACGGAAATTTTCTGCACGGCTACAACAAATCGATAGACCTATTCGCCGAATAAAGCTGTAAATCACAGCGATATGAAAGAGGGTATGAAGAATGTACGATTTGCAACAACGATCGTAGCTTTCTTTGCTTACAAAATGTTTTTATTTTATTCAATTATTATGTATTTGTTAGAACTAAATCTCTTTGTAGATGTCGTATAACTTATTTATGAATCAATTTTATTTTAAAAAAAAATCTCTGTAATAAAAAAAATCTAACATAATCTCATTATGGTTAATTCATAACGTCGAAATATTCGATGTAGGCATGTAGCTATTGAGATGGATGAAGCAAAACATTTTGGTGGTTTTTTAAACTACATTTTTAATTTAAGGAAAATGTATAATGCTTGAAAAATTCAGTATGAAAGTACAAGGGGATGGACATAATAGTCAAAGTTTCTACACAGACAATATGGAGCAAAAGTTGAATACAGAGGTACACAAGTTTCAGTAACCTTGAACCACAAAATCAACTTATCAAGATGACATTTATGGAATTTTGAACTAAATTTTGTAGCTATGGAGTACAATATGGCTGCTCTGCTACTGTATACAAAACCTGCAAAACCATTAACAATATGACTTACTGCAAAACTTTGTTAATCACTATAATTGGATCAACTGTGGGCATAATTAACAGTGGAGTAAAAAATTGGATCAACATAATTAAATTTGCTGACTGCCGATTGCCATTTTCTAATAAAGCATCAGTATATAGAAAAGAAAAGCCGCCTATAAATACCCAACCCTAAGGGGTCATCCACTCCATCAGCGATCACAATTACATTTTTTTTTGAAGAAGAAATTGCAACTTCAATTGCATGTATACAATATAATTTTGGAATAAATAGCACAAACCAAGGACTAACTAGTGCGTATAACACTATCAAATAATTGCCGATTAATGCAAAATTCACACTACCAGTTTACTATCGTTCATCAGAATAATTTCAATTTTCCTTTGGTGAAGGTTCCTTTGCCGTGGTTCTCAAGACACAACACTCTCTCTGTTCCCAGTAAACCAGAACATGATTCACCTGAACTCATTGTGACTGCAAAATAAAGGTATACAGTGCACAGTACGACCAAAAGAACAAGAGCTACTAGAAGGAAGCGGTGACGCTGGATGAGTGTAGTGAAGCTTACGTCATGTGAAAACTTTTTATGAGGCGAAGACGAAGCAAAAGCTCCCTGAGTTCGTCTATGAGGAGAAGATATGACATTATCAAGAGCCATGGTCGATGCACCAACGCCTTGTTCAAACTGCTAAAGCATAACAGTATATGTTCAGTCAGGTTTATTCAGAAACAGACTTTTGCAAATATTCTGATCAATATTACTCATACAATCAACCCGAGAAACACAAAGGATTCAATTCTTCATGATAATCTAAAACGCTGAAACACGGCAAAGTCCAGTAGATTTGCATAAAAATGCAAGATAATAAGCAGCAGACAAGTAGAATGCAGCATTCAAGTAATTCATAACTAATAAGGTAAACATAATAATGAACTGATACGCTTCACAAAACTGAAATCTAATTCAGGGAAAGAAAGAACAGCAACCTAACCATGGACTAGATGACCAAATTTAAAGACACGGTACCTAAATGGCAATACCTAGCCCGTGATCATAACCTACCAGCTACTTTCTCACCTCGTTCCCCAGGATCCCTCAACTCACTCAGTGCCAAAGGAAACACGGCACACAGCAAATTTTGGTATCCAGAAGCCATAGGCACAAAAGCATGAACGCAAGGAGAATTCATTGAAACTATGATTGTATATTGGTATCCAATAATTTGTATCTTCATTAAATTCAATAACACAAACTTCTAACCATCAAGCTCGGGTGCAACAAGGAACAGTGTTGCTTCCATGATCTAATACAGTGGAGATAACAATTGACAATTCCCCCCTAACTAGTACCTACCATTTACATTCAACACCATTTCAGCACGAAAATAGGATACAGAACATTAACTAACACAACTTCCCCAAATAAGCTTCAATAATCCTAACTTCCAAGCAATCCCGGTCCGAATTCTAGTAAATACAAGCTTTCGCTCTCTCCGGCTATAATTGTCACACCACTAGTTCAAATTACACCATCATTGGGCGAAATTCAAGTGGAAGGAAAACTAACTATACCCTCAAATTTTTTTGGGGATATCACCCAATAATAATTAGTCGATTCAGCTCAACAATTTCCAGAAATTAAATTCACATAAAAATTTCTTAAATATTACAAACAAAAACCCCTCCTCCACACAGATCATCTAACAAATCCATCAAATAATCATCAAGTTGCAATACAATAATCTATTAACAAAAACAGTAAATGAATATAAAATTTACAAGAAATTCCAAGGAATTCAAACGATTTGACTAGCACATATATATAAACATAATTCACATCAGTCCAATGAAAACAAACAGAATTAAAAAGGGGCAAAAGAGGGTTTTCGACAATTCGAAAATCAAGAGGAGAAAGAAAAGGGAAGTGATACCTCTTTAATCGGGGGAGAGAATGAAATTGGAGAAAAACAGAAAAGCCAGACAGCAGTGCGATTCAGAGAGAGTGTAAATGAAAAGCGAAAGCGTCGGAAAATTGAGGCGAAGGAGGAGAGAGAAAGTTGGGAAAGTGAGGTTTGTTAGAGTGAGGATGAAGAAAATTGGGCGAGTTACCAATTGCCAAATTAACACTTAGATCCAGATCTAGTGTCACCATTATTTTGTCTCCACATTTCTGTTTTTATACTACTTTATGCCATTTTGAAGTTTTAAACTAATTTGTTGATAAATTGACAAGTAATTATGGATTAAGGATTATATAATTTTTCAAAACTAAAATAAAATTATATAGTCTCATTTTTTGATAAATTATTAAATTAAATTGACAAATAATTAAGGATCACAGATATGTTTGATAACATATGTGTGTATTAAATGACAAGTTGATAAAAATTTATGACACTTTAAAGAATTTTAATGGCTAATACAGTACAAGTGTTAAGGTAGAAAAAGTCATCGATATTACTATGTTAGTATTATAAGGATTACTCAATTATTGTTACAGGGGTTTCTATATCAATATTACAGGGATTATTCAGTAAGTATTACAAGAGTTACTCGATCAGTGTTATAGGGGTTATTTAGTCTTTTATAATAGGTCACATGATGTGACCAAACCGCATATAAATTATATGTTTGAGATAAGTACTTGGAAAGTATCTAGTCCGCACATGATGTCACTTAAACCGCTAGTTTTAACAATCAACTCACATACAAAATAAATAAATAATGAATCTTATTAGCGCCAGTTCCTCATTAGTTTCAAAAACTACCTTTTCAATTTCAATTACACTGTAGCTTATCTTCATTTTTATTTTAGTTTGGATAGTCTTCTCTCAAAATTATACCGTACTTTATTAGAATAAATAAAAAAAATACTATTTATAAACTGATCTATATCTTAGTAAGCTTGCATAAAATGCCCCACATAAACAATAGAGTCTAATATATTACCCTCTCTATAAATGTACACGCGAATCTACAAAGGTGAAATTTTGTACTTGCTCTTTGACATCTTCCATCAACAGCTAAATTTTTCACAATTACCAAGCCTTTCCTTGAAAAATATTAATAATAAGTAAATTATCTCCTTTAATGACTACTTTTCAAATATTATTATGGATTTATTATTTATAGGCATGTGCTATAAGAAGATGGAATTTATACTTCTATTTGTATACTTCCTCCGTTTCTTTTTAATTGACACGTTTTTTTAGTCACGTTTGTCAATGCATTTATTCAATCACTGATATCTTTAATTATAAATAAACAAAAATTATAAAAGTTGATATTTTGAAAATATATAACGTGACGAATCTAACAAAATCTCACATGACTATATTTTTCATTACGTATAAAGTACAAAATACAGTCAAAGAGAGACATGTGCATAGTGTTACAGTAAAAAAAAAAAAAAAAAAAAAAAAAAAAAAAAAAAAAAAACGAGGTTGTATGATTTTGTCTTTTTTTTTTTTTTTGAATAGCAAAAATATTTCATTAATTAAAAGTCATACAACATCTACAATAGAGATTCGACGTTAACAAATACATAAGATATTGAATCAAATAAAATTTTCCTTCATAAAAACTACGATCGTCGAGTAGATCCTGCACTGCGGAGCATCTCCCGCTTATATCGCTGAAAATTACAGCCTTGTTGGAAAGACAATCTAACAATCATTTGTAGTCGTGAGGATATTTTCCTTCTGATTCATCTGTTCGTATTCGAAAACTTGATAACTTTTTCACCAACGAAATAATTTCACGAGAATCCATTAGATTTGTTACCATTGATTCAAAACTAAGAAATTTCTCCCTCGAAAAGAGGAGATAAACCTTATCTTTCGAAGGAGGTCGA